AAAACATATAATTTTTTTCTTCCCTCAGTTCCATACTGAAATAATTAAATKTTTACCGTACAAAATATTTTCTGTTTCATTTATATTATACATTTGGAAAAAACACGTTTTTCTGTTTCTTTTTGATATTTCTACACCGAAAATATTAAAATTGATGCCTTGTATCGGTAGAAAATATATTTCTTTCATTTACGTTAAAATGCTTGAAAATATAACTTTTATGTTCTTTGTCTGTCGGCATTTTGATAGCAAAAATATGAAACACGATACCGAAAATCGGTACAAAATATTTTTTTTTTAACATTTAACTGGAAAGCTTTGGAAAATTGTAGCTTAATGTTCTCTGTCCGAAAATCGGTACAAAAAATTTTCTTTCTACATTTAACTGAAAAGCTTTGGAAAATTGTAGCTTAATGTTCTCTGTCGACATTTCAGTACCGAATATATTAAACTTTATACCCTATATTTGTTTCACATATGTATATCAAAATGTTTGAAAAAATCGTTTTTCTRTCCTCTGTTTGTCGCATTTTGTTAGCAAAACTATTAAACTTTTTACCGAAAATCGGTACAAAATATTGTTTTTCTACATTTAACTGAAAAGCTTTGGAAAATTTTAATACCGAAAATATTTAACTACTGATACCGAAAATCGGTATAATTTTTTTTTTATTTTTATTTAAGTGAAAACATTTGAAATATTTTAGTTTCCTGTCCTCTATCGACCTTTCAATATCGAAAATATTATAATGTATACGTAAAATCGGTATGAAATATTTTTTGTTTCACCTAAAGTAACATTTTTGAAAATTTTTGGTTCAATGCGATTTATATTTCTTATTCTTGGAATAAGTGCAGCTACCAAATTTTTCAGTAAATCGTCTGCCCCTTTTTCAAATCTAGTAAATTTTTCCGACAAGGACAGTTGTGTTCAACACTTTAATAAGTAATATTGTATTGTTATGTTTCACGACTTTGCTGCATAATTTACACCCTCACGCGCGTGCGACACGTAAACGTTTGTTGCTATTGTTGTTATTATTATGTGATGTAAAACCAACCGATTTGAGTTTAGAATTATGGGTTTATACCGCTGTGAGAGGCGAACGTTTTGAAAGGTGCGCATGTTCACAATGGCCCTGTCACTTTTGACAACTGAATGATGTAAACTCAAGTAAAGTGTCAACAATGCTATAATACTAAACTATTTCGCTGTATGTTTTTTTTTTTTTGTCTAATTTTTCAGGTTGTGGTTCAAGTGTTTGGCCTCGAAAAGAATGGCATGCCTGCCACAAGGCACTGTTACTCTCAGAAGTTTCCATCATCGTGTTATAAACTCGTAGCGAATTCAAAATTGTTCGTAAATGTCTAACTAACAGTAAAAGCTGTAAGTACGCCATTTTTCGTCAGCAAAAATTATTT